CTTTGTTTCAGGACCACCATCACAGCCATTTGGTCACAATGACATGGAACAGACGCTCATTTACAGATCTTGGGGGAAACCCGAACAGCAGTGAAGAGCATTTAAAACTCTGAGGCTGAACACCAGAAGCACCGGCAGGAATGGAGGCGAGGGCCAGTGCTCGTTCGCCCCTCACCCCACGACCCACGGGAGCTGCTGGGAACCGGTGGGTGCATGCGAGAGGGGGCTGGAGGTTTGTGGGCTCCACTACCATTACCGGGGGCAGCTACAGAAGACCACACACACGGTTCTGGGACAGACGGTGCACATGATCTCAAGGAACTGAGGGAAGGGTTTTAAAACCTCTTCAGGAACATCAACAGCTTGGTGAACAGGCAGCCAGCAGAGCGACATGTGGCCACATGAAAGGTCTGTTAAAGATTAGAGCACTTCTTGCTCATTTCCAGAAAAGACTGGAGAGCACTGTGAAAGGGAGGTGGGTGGGATTCAGGCAGCCTGTGTAAACTTACTGGTCACTACTTTGTGTTAACTGCCAACTACCTTACTACCATGAGAATGGACACTGGTGATCCGCTGTGGGAGGCACCTACATGTGTGCATGTATGTATCTGCTGAACATTTCATCTGACAGAGTAAAACCAGTATCATTTCAATGACTGCAGAAAGTATTTTTGAAAGCATAAAAGATGTTAAGAATTTTTAAGATTATTTTGGCAAAGTCAATCCCAAAATATTTTGAATGAAAAAGCACATCTCAGTTCAGATATAATTTACCAATAAGTAACATACGCAAGGGAGCATTTTCAAAATTGTCCAGTTTACATAACAGGCAAGATCTATGGACTAGCTCTTAAATCAACTCTTGAGTTTGAAAAGGGTCACAGTCACAGAAGTCATAATCTAAGACCTCCTCTGTTTTAAACACTAAAAACAGCATTGGCTGGATTATAAACTTTCCCTAGCTGGATACTACTGTGAATGACATTTTTATCCAGCCAGAAAACACAGCACTAAAGGAGGCTTGTTCATTCACTCATTTGCAATGTTAAAATTGTATCGCACTTTATTATGAAAATTAAGATCACGCTTGTATTACAGTTTAAAAAGAGTCCACAGAATGTGGATGTTAACTTTCAGGAGTGAAAAATCCATTTTTTTAACCATTATTACTTTATGGCACTATTTGGCAAAAGAAAAATATTTCTCTCCAATCTTGTTTTTATTTCCCCAGTTTCTGTCAGGTCTACATAGGTTCAAATTTCTGTTCTGCCATATACTGAGTTTTCGTTTTGTCACTTATTGGTAGAATGGAATGTTAACGCACCAACTTTACAAGATTGTTGTGTGAATTAACTTAAGTGACATAAAAAGGTTTATGAATACCATGTCCTTGAAATAAAAGGCTACAACTAACAGCAATTTCTGTCACTCTGGATTGAGAAAAACAATTTTTACTTGTAAAAAATTTTCTTATAAAGTTAGACCTTTACTCTGAAATGTGTTACTAATATTACAAATTAAGTTATTTGGATTCCACAACACAGCATTAAGTTCTGGTAAATTCTAGGGAAAGGCATTCAATTATTATTATTATTCTGGCCACATAAATTTGGAAATACAAATGAAACCTTCTGGGCAAAAGCCCAGAAGGAGATCATTCAAGTTCACTTGGAATTTTTAGACCATCCCAAATGTAGGGTGAGAATACCCTGAAGGCCATTAATGTAACCCCGCACATTCTGCAACAAAAGAAAAGTGAGCCCTCACAAGTTCAATGGATGTGTTCATGTAGTGTAGCCAATAAGGGTGAGAAGACACAAGTACTCTGGTCTTTCGACTCACACTCCTGCTGCTTTTCACACTACGTATGCCAATCTGCCTTTCAAATTTTTTTGACTGTTTCACCTTTTTGGTATGGTGCTTCTTCCACATCCAAGTGACTGTTATTTTTCGAAAAGTTTGCTATTTCAACTGTTTTTAGGCAGTCAAAAAAATCTTCTTTTATTAGGTTACCTATCCAAACAATGATTTCCCCTTTATTCCTTCCTGAAAATGCTAATTTTCTCCAGATATGGAATGCAACATAATCACTGGTGATGACCTCTGTTCTCTCGCCCAGGGGATGAAATCAGGAGATGACCAATGACTGATCTAAGCAAAAGCTAAGCCCACTTTACCTCTGCTGCCTCTGCTGGTGGATGGGTTTAGAGTGGGCCTGGAACCAAGGAAACTTCAGGGGGAGTTTTATAGGGATTCTGGAAGAGATGTTTCTGCTTGATTCAAAAAAAAAAAAAGGAAAGGCATAGGAAGAGCTCCCTTGTCCATCTCTCTGGTTGTTTGTCTTGAGCGCATGAGGCAGCCGTCACCTCTGCCGTGAAGAGAAAGACAAGAGTTGCGCAGAGAAGCTCCCCAGAGGTCTGACAATACTTTCTTAACCAGCCCCCAAATCACCTCGTTCTGGGTTAAATCTGGGTTTAGTCAGCTAGTCAATTACTTGTGGCCCAAAGCCTCCAAACAGAAAGCGCCAGTATTTTCTACTGAAATCATCTCATCTAGCGTCTCTAACAGAAGACTTCCACTCCAGACCAGATAATATGAATGCATAATATTTTAAACTAGTTCTTAAAGATGAATTAGGTGTGTTACTAAGAAAGGTGCTATCTAGTGGTCGACAGTATTCAAAACTTGAGGATATGACTGAAGAAGCTAACCTAAAATAATAACAATGTTTATTTAACAGTATAGAAACAATTTGAACCCTTATACTCATTCTAAAAATTTATAAAAATAACTTCAAAAAAAAACACACAGAAGTTTTAAAAAGTCAGATGTTATTCTCAAATATTCATTTAAATAAAAATTTCTTTTTAGAAAAATACCACTGTCACATGGACATAAAGCTTAAAAATATTTTATTACCTACCAAGAGTGAGTGGATTTTATACTACAAAACACTGTAAGTTTTATTACGCACATTTGCACACACACATACACACCTGCCTCTTACAACCCTATGCGATTCCTTATCACAGATGACAAAAATAGGAAAAAAAAAAAACCTGGCCATCCTAATTCAGGGTGGCAAAGACTTAACAAATGTTACAATTACGTCAATATTCTCCACTGCCAAGAGTCACAAGAGAAAAGGCCTACAACAACCATAAAAAAAAATTTGTCAAAAACCCACAAATCAATGAAAACAAAGTCATCCTCAAGAAGGGTCTACTGATTTGAAGTACTAACTAAGCTTTTAGTTCTGCCCTAAACTTCAGAGCAAGAGAACAACCTAGGAAATGTTAAGAAATGATTTTTTTTTAAGTAAGGAAAGAAAGTATTTCTATAAGTAGCAAGTAGAGGCTAAAAGTCACAAAAGTTAGGAGGTCAGACACTAAGTTACACTAGTTGCTAGTTATACATAATAGCTCCCAAGGACATCACAACAGAATAAACTGATGCTCAAAATTGATTCTGAATAAATGTTTTAAAGTTTAAGACAATTTGATTAATATAGCAGAAAAACAGTTGGTTATAATGAGACTTTGTAATGATGGAGAAATTAACCATGTTAAGTAGGATTATAGTCCAAATTTCCTCACCAAGATAAGACTTGTCAGTTCTAAATATATTTAAAACAAATAAATACTAGAGTTAAACAGAATCGAAAGCCTTCTCTTTTTCCTAAGTCTATACTCCTATAATTATCTTCTGTTTTAAGAAAAGTAGACTCTCCAGGACTGCAATTAGGTAAAGTGACCAGCACTCCATTTAAAGTAAATCCTGGATTAGGTGTGTGTTTCCAATAAATATGAACTTAAATGGAATTCTCTTAGGAAGGCTTAAGAAAAAAAAGTACCAGTAGTATTTGATTACTCTCCAATGTTAGAATGCACTGTTTTAGCTCAAGATTCAAATCTATTTGGATCGTTCAGTCTTTAAAAAGAAGGTAAGTACTTCTACCTCTACTGAACGTCAAGTGCTCAGAGTGGTGCTGTCTGGAAGGATGGAGCAAAGATGCGAGCTGGAGATGAGCTTGTGGGTATGGCTTTCTTAGAACCCGGCGATCAATTCCAGGTCATCTGTTTGCTGTTGCTATGGGAACTTTATGAATCATGACCTCTCCCCACCCGCCATCATTCAGAGGACCGAACTATGTATGGAAAAGGTACTGAAAATATTTACTTCCAGTAAAAATACATACATTAAGAAGTTAGATCTTATTATAATTAATTATGTATTTTCAGCCTTATTTTAGTAATTTGAAGTTTGGCCACTGGAGACATATATACAGAAGGAAATTATCCATTATACCCACTTTTCCTAAATTTGTCCCTCATGCCAGCCCTGAATGTTAAATCCACTGTATCTTTAGAAGTTTGGAGGATTTTCAAACAACATGTCTTTGTTCACTGCCAGACCCAAAAAGATGAGCCTTCATGCATCGTCTTTACCATGACAATTTACAGAAAGCTACTTCGATCTCACAATCAAGTTAGATATATAACAGACAGGTCTCACCTTTCAAGTACACAAAAAAGAACACTCATCTGAAATGCACACAAGTATCTAACAATGAAGTGTCATGATGTCTGAAACTTACTTTCAAATGGGATTCAGCAAAAGAGAGAAAAAAATGCATGTGTAGCATAAATGCAATCATTACATAAATATGAGAGAGAAAGCAAATGTGGCAAACGTCATCAACCCTGGACCTAAGTGGAGGGTAAACGAGTATTCAGAGTACCTTTCTTTAACTTTTCTGTGAAAAATCTCAAAGAAAAGGCTGGGGGAACAAAAAACCCTCACTGGCTCTTAGTTTTCTTGTGCTTTCAGTCATTACACTGAATATGTATGTCCAGTCCCTTCCTTTTTGCCTTAAGACCCTTTTATCCTCATTTAAAACAACTGCTACAGAATTGTGTTATGTCCTTGAACAAAAATCATAACTCCAGGAGAGTTTTTAAAAGTAGGTTTCAAGGCTGGTATCAGTGAAATTGTTTTACCTGAAAGTTAACATCTTCTTTCTTAAATATTAGTGCTCGGACTTCATCAGGATCTCCATTAAATATAGCTTGCACCAGTGATGGCTAAAATACAAGAGAGTAATAAAAACATTAATCACACCACATGGATGATTCTAAAGATAACTTTTAAATCTAAAGATTTTCTTCACTATCATAACAATCATCACTTGGCTTCTGACATGAACCAAGTTTCATGAAGTCAAATCATATGAATGTACAGGATTCCTCCTTGGGGAAAAAAAAGAAGTCCTAATAATTTAAAAAAATTCAGCATGATCATCAATTCAGTATGACCAAAATTAGATAGTATAATAAACATGTCAGATTCGATTTCATATGAGAGGAGTGGGTTTATATATATGGTAAAAAGGAAGTTTCTTCCAAATACAAGTGTGACATCTCGACATCTACTTGTGGGATACAACTTGTCAAACAAGCAGTTCCCGCCCACGTGGAGGCCCACAAAGGAAGGTCTCCTTGCGAAGTTCTGCTTGGGGGCCCAGAGTACCTTGCATGGGTTAGCATTACATGTATAGAGACAAAAATCCCAGGAAAGACAATCTGGCAGTTGATGAGAAATCACTACTATTCAAAGATCAAAAATGATTATATACCTGAATACCATGAAGAGGCAGACATGTGGATCTCTAAATATAACAATTTCTTAACCAATGACACAGCCTCTCTGATAAGGTATCATGTTATGCTAGTCAAACAAGAAGTCAATTGACAACAGCATTAAAAATAAGGTTAAAGATGAGGTCTGAGTCTTTTTCATTAACAGTCTTGCATGTAAATACATAAAATTCATTACGGAAAAGGCCGTGCCTCCGGTGTGGCTGGCAGTAGTCAACCTTTCCTAAAACATACGGTTCCTCATTCTTGTTACATCAGTTTTTAAAACCACAAAATAAAAACAGAAACGTGGTTGCTATAACTACTATTCTCAAATTTTTTTTTAAAAAGTCTGTTTAAGAGATTGAGGTAAAATCTGAAGTGTTACCTAAATATCTGAAAAAGTGAAAATCAGAAATGTGTGAGTTTTATACCCAAGTAACATTGCATCATGTTCACACATCTATATTGCTTTAATTTGGGTTTTTAATGAAACGCGTGGAAATTAACTTACGCTTATTCTTAAAAAATAAAATTTATGCTACAAGTCCAGTAGAATACAGTAAACATATAAACGCTCGTATCTTACCAATACATTTCCCAGAGGTGGAGAAGGCAGGGATTTACTTTCCCGTGGCAACTTAGAAACGAATGCAGGAGACTCATCTTCTACCTCCTCCAAAACTACAATGCACACTCGACTCATTCGCTCCTTTAAACCCTGAATTCTAAGCTATGTGATAAAAGTCACAGTTCGAAGAGCACAAGTAGTTTTTCCTCCTCTTCTGTACGACACTTAGAATCATTCTCTGAATAGTGTGGCTGGTTTTTTAAAGTTAATAACCACTATCGGAAAAACTGAAGTTTAAAATGATAACGACGTAACTTATAACTTCCCCCAAACAACAAAATTCTATTATTTTCTGTTGGGTTCCTGTAACACTTGAAAGAAATTTCACATCAACACGACAGTAGCTAAAACTGAGTCCAGCACAAGCTCATTCAAAAATATTTTTCCCCTACCAAAATAGTTATATTGCTCTGTTTCACAGAAATTTACTTGCATAAAAAAATCATTGTTTTGGGTGACACCACCACACACTGCAGGATGAGAAACAACCGCTGACAGAGATGACTACAGCTAGACCCACTCTCGTCTGCAAGGTCATATAGTTACCAGCAGCTGGCTTGCTTATGACTGAAAATAAAAAATAAAATCTCACTGTTCTGTTTCCACTTCTAGTTTGTCTTCATTTCTTCAGCTTCACTGGCTTAATGCAGATATTATCCAGAAAAAAAGAAATACATCTAGAGCTCAACACAAATTCTTAAAATGTTGCTCAGAGGGCGACAATTCTTTCTGTGTTTCAGAAGAAAAAAACCCAGCACTCTGCATTAACAGCAACGCTGCAGTGCATTTACATGCGATGAGTCAGACCCCAGGAGACAATGGGACTCTTGGTACTAGATACAGTTTGATGAATCCAGATACCCCATCTACGAGAAGAAACAGTCAGCTTTATCCCCCTCAACAGACCAGGAGAGGCAGCGCATTCAGTCCTCCCCCATCAGGCGGCTGTCTGGCGGCCCCAGCAGAAGGGCACAGGCTCCAGCAGAACGTGGAGCGGAGAATCCTAATGGAGCAGGCAGGCTGTGAAGGAATTAGAAGGCATCTGAGCTCAGATTACTGCTCCAGAAGGCTTTTCGTGTTAAAAAAAAAAAAGAGAGAGAGAGAGAGAGAGAGAGAGAGATGGGGGGAAAGCTCCCGTAGTTTATCATTCCAGTGTTTTCTTTGATCTCCACATGAATACAGCTTCCACAAAACAGTCTTCATTCAGAGGAAGAAACAGCAGACTGTGCATCTTCTCTGAGCCAGCTACTTTATTCAGTCGTCTGCCTCTGTGCCAATGTAGTTTCCTTCCACCGTGAAAACCGCTACAGCTATCCTCAGCGGCCCTTTTCAGACGCCCTCCTGTTCCTCTGATGATCTTGCAAAACGTCACAGACACCTCCAAACGAGTAGGTCCTTAGAAAATACAGAACCTCAGAATCGGCCCCACAGGAGCACTCCAACTGAGCAACAGTCTGAGGAGCAAAGACTGCAGAACCGCAGGACGAAACGCCTAGTAATGCTCACATGTTACACTTCGCAGAGAGCTGAGCTACTGCTTGGTATGTGACTTCCTCTAGCAGCAGAAAAAATAGTGCATTTGGACAGCCTTCACAATTAGAAGGTTCATGCCAGTTCTGTGACTAATCCAGATCAAACTAAAAAATTCTATAACTGAAAAATGAGTGCGCTTTTAACATTTTCCACTAAAAGCCACAAGGAAATCTGGTGTACTGCCTCTGCTGACTAACACTGGCCTTAGCAAGTAAACAATTCCAAATAGCTTAACTGCTTTCGTATGTTACAATATAGCAAATGTTTAACCCTATAGTGACAGCTGCCCTAAGAATGTCTGCTGTGAATCCCAGAATGAGAGACCAAGGAGAAGTATTTTCTGAGAATATAAATACCATGAACCTAACGTTTTCTTCTTCTTTTTGAACCGTTTTTAATCTACTAGATGTATGTTACACTCAAGAATGCAGAGTTTAAACAAGAGAAATTTAAGATTCACTAATAATTTCTAAGTTGCTGAATTTTATCAAAGTCATATTTTCAAAGAGAAAAATTAATTCTAAAATTATACTGATCATTTGAATTTTCACAAAAGAAGTGAAGCAGTTCTACCTTCCCATCTGGATGTGGAATAAAACCTTTAAATCTGTTAAACAGCTACTACGTAAAACAACTGCTTCAAGTCCTTGGTAGTGAATTATCTGTAGGTCAAAAAGTTACAGGGAAACACAAAGCAAAGAATCTTCTCCCTCCCTATAAAATTAATTACTCCAAAGCTACAAGTAAGAGTCAAAATGTCAAAAAACAATCAATTTAGAGCTGGCATTCTCTGTTTCCTCTCCCTTTCTCTGTTAACTCAAGGACGGGGATATTTCCCAAGAGAAAAATTACAAAGAAAATACCATGGTTCCTCTTCCATCTTCGTTCTTTCTTCTATCAACCAGCATTTTAATTAACAAATGTAACAATTATTCTGGCACACTTATGATGTGCTAAGTGTTATATATTTCCATTTAATATTCACAACGACCCTGCTACATTCCCACTGCACAGAGGGAAAAACAGACTGAGAAATTAAGTGTTATATCCAAAGTCAGACAAATTAGTAAAGTTGTGCCTAATTACAAACACAAGCTCTTTCTCATCTATTCTGCTTCCACTCATTATACGCACACACTCTTCTAAGATCTTTGTCACCTACAACACTAGACTAGAAAAGTGATCTTAAAAGATAATCTATGACTGTGAAAAATTTAGGTAACAAAGGAACATACCACTTACTGTGATAATACTCCCAAACAGGTTATTTTCAAATAGGTATTTCAATGTATATGTGTAGGTCTCATATGTATGACTGGGACATTGTGCTGTATACCAGAAATTGACACACTGTAACTGATGGTACTTCAATTTAAAAAAAGAAAAGAACAAGGAAAACTAAACTAAACTAAACTAAATAAATAGGTATTTCAGGGCTAGTGTTACCTCACATGTTTAAGCCAGTTTACTTATCAAAATATAAAAAGAAAAACCCAGCATGATATAGATAATATAATATCAGAATTTAAGAACAAAAACTATTATCTATTTATGAAAAAAAACCTATAACCTAACATAACTGCAACAAGATACTAAAATACACTAACAATTCCCATGGTTATTTTAAAATATATAAACGGTTTTAAGCCAAATTAAAGACATGCCAATATTCTGACATACAAAATGATGTTAATCACTACATGGCTAAATTAAAAATATCACCTTGATATCTGAAGCAACTGAAAATGAAACCACTAAAGTAACAGTATCCTATATTCTATCATCAGGGGTTTTTTCCCCTGCAAAACAAAATTTCTTTATATAGACAATTTTAACTTGTTCCAAAGTATCTGGTGTCTAAGGTCACCTACTGAGACTTCAGCAGGTACACCCTGTTTTCTTGTTCTAGGTCAGCTTCCACACTTAGGTTTTTCTCAATCAGAAAGCAAGCTCCTTGAAGGCAGGGACTATGGTTACACACATACTGTTTCCTTCCAATTTCTTCCACCCGTATATAATGTCACTGAAATAACCTCTATTATGTCACAAGACTCTGGAATAGAGTGGCAAAAATTATAAAAGACAGCAAGGAGAGGATTCCTACATTTCAGTCAGTGAACATGGGATGGGGGGGCGTTAAGGTGCAGCAGAAGGAGCCTTGTGCCCCCAGCAGATGAGCAACTTGACAGCAGAGATGACAGCAGTAAGACAATGACACTGACGACAGCCACCGCCAAGGGCTCGGGAGTCAGCCTGCCTGGAGCTCAAATTCTGATTCCATTCTTTACTTGCTGTGTTCTTGGGCAAGTTGGTTAAATTCCCTGGGTCTAAATTTCTTGGACTTTTAAGAATAATCATCTGCAGAGATCTGTGTCCAGGAGAAATACTGCAACAGCAGCATAGTGACTGAGGAGGTAGGCTCTGTGGCCAAATGGCCTGGACTCTCTAATCCAGCTTCTCACCAACAAACCTAATTGTGTGACCATGAGCAACTTCTTTCACCTTTCCATGAACCATTTCAACATCTATTAAAGGACAAACAGAATCTACAGTGTTATTCACAGTGAAGTTTAAAATAAAAATAATTTTATTATGGATACTTAGGGTAGTTGAAAGATATCCCTAGTGAAGCCAGTGAGAAAAAAGGGGGGACTTTGACAACCTCCTCCCTACTGGTAAGGTGACTCAGACTGGTGTCTGGAGAGCCCATTCAGTTACTAGGTCGCCACCCTTCTCAGGCCTCTAGAGAGCCTGTGAGAAGCCTGTCTTCACACTCCAGGAGCCAGACCAGTGTTTATTAAGTGTTCCTGGGGGAGGGAGCAGGAAATCTGACAAGAAGTAGGACTACCGGTTTCTGCATTCTTCCACATTCACTGTATTTTACAGTCTAGGGAAAGAGAAAGGGTAAAGAGTCCTGGCCCGTGACATAATAAACCACAAAAATACGAGATCTTATATATATTAACAGCACCACACAGCACTGTTTTCTATCTCCTACTAAATGAGACAGGCCCCTCATCTCAATGAGCTCACATCTTAAAGGAAGAGGAAACAGGTAAATACGCATTTAAGAAATTAGGAATGGAGAAAGTACTTATGATGAAAAATCATTGACAGAGGTTGTGCCAATTGTTCTGAATTCTTTCAGTTGACCAATGGCAAGGGGGTGTGGTTTCTTCTTCAGGCATTTACTTTTTAGGCCAAATTAGGTTAACTTCGTAAGAAGCCAACAATTTCAACCGGACAACTTAACAGTTCTTTCATTCTTTACGCTAAAATGTGTCCCATCTAAAAGTTACTCCTGCTCTTCACACAGTCACTTAATGGAAAAGCTGGTTTAAAACTTCCACTTTACTGATAAAAAGTTTAACATTCTCAAAGATTCCCTTTAGATTCCCAGTTTTGTTACAACAGAATTTCTTTTGTTGACACAATTGATTTTTCCCTTCTGCATAGTCAACCCAAAGCTCCTCCTATCTTACAAATCCGTGAACTCCATGTTGATTATTATAGAATAAAATATTTTATCTAGGGTATACTAA